TAATTGATACTCCGTTTCGACTTGCGGTTTTTTTTTGAAAATAAAAATAAAAAATTGGGTTAGCTCTGTAGTCAATTCTTTTCAGTTATCTTTCGTCAAAATATGCTGCACCAACGAACTCCTTTAAAATGGAACAAATAGCATAACATTCAACCAACCTTAAAGGCTTAAATCTTAAATTAACAAACAAAAAATTCTCACAAGAAAGAAGGATACCAATTTTCCATATCTAACAAAGTGGGCTCCACAATTTTTTTTTCCAATATTACAAAATTGCCACTCCCTCTATTTCAGCGTTAAGCAGTTTTCCAATGATTACGATATTAAATATTTTTAACTATGAAAGATTGTGGTTTATAATAACTCTTTTACTTTACACTTATATTTTATTATAAAAATCTAATTTTGAAATGTCCAAGTTTATAGAAAATATTAAATATGTTAACTCTCATCGTCATTTTTCCTCAACAAAATAATTAAAGAAATATGTAATATGGTAAAGAATCGAGAATTAAAAAGAAAAAGTTTCTAGTTTATAGGATAATTAATGGCGAAATGGCCATGTGGCCACTTAAAATTGTACCGGATTTTAAAGCCGATACAGAACTTATATTGTTCCCATTTGAACACTCAAACTCACATATCCGATAACTAATAAACCTATTTGACTGTTGACCATGCACATGTGGTAGTGACAGAGATGACGTGGACAAGGTGTGTGCAAGTCACAAAAATTACGCGCGTGAATACAATAATTTTGATTTTAAAAAAATCTTGAACCAGAAAAAAATACAAATTAAAAAGAAAGAAAATAAACCACGCCCACTTCCCCATCCCCCGCAAAATTCCCTTCACCCCCTATGTTCTTTTTCCCCCATTATCTTCCGCCCCACCTCCTCCTTCTTTTCTTTTTCCCCCTCTCTAATCTATCCCCTCCTCCTCTTTTTGTTCCAAACCGAGGCAGAGATAGTGAAAAACAAAGAATAGCAATGAATTTTCTCAAAATTTTTATGCCAATCCTTTCTCTCACATTAACTACCTTTCCCCTTTTTGTATCCAATCTTAGACCCGAAGACAAATAGAGAAAAGAGAAATATCAATGGGAAATTATCAAATTTTGGGTAGAAAATTCCATTTACAGAGGCCGACTTCTTCCCTCTTTTTGATTTCACCATTTATGTCCTTCTTTGACATAGCCTAGCGGGCTCACCATAATATCGGGCGGGCTCCATTGTTTCTAAACCATTGATTCCTATTGATTTTTTCTGAAATTTCCAAAATTAAATTTGTTATTCTAGTCTAACCATGAGTACACCGGTATTGTGAATTTGATTTAGAAATAAGAGAGAGAAAGAACACTGAAGAAAAAGAAAAAGAAGAAGAATAAAAATAAGGAAAGGAATGGAGGTGGATAGACGGAGAAGAAGGGAGAGGTGGGTGAACGGAGAGGAGGGTCAGGTCTTTTTCTTCTTTCTTTTTTTAATAGGACCCACAAATAACACATGTCAAGTAATAAATAGTCTAGTATATGACGTGTTGTACATGTTAGCGCAATTGATATACACGCACTACTGAATGTATTAATAGTACTCATCCCGTCAAGTTCGAGTGTTCAAATGAAAAAATTCAAAGTTTATGTATCGACTTTCAAAAGTCCTATAAATCTAAGTGTCCACAAAGTCATTACGACATAATTAATTAACGCATTGGGACATGTCCATTTTAATGGAAGACGTGACAATTCCTTATGAAGCCTAATGTTCACGCCTGGTCTACATCTACGGGTCCACCGAGGAAACAACTTGTGCTAATTCTCATCCCTAACGTTTGTGATCCAAATAATTAGAAATAGTACTACTTTTGATAACTTATTTAGCTCCCGTTTGGCCATAGATCTTGGCAACTTTTTTTCAAATTTTTTTTGAAAACATTGTTTGTTCATATTAATGATTTATTTTTGAAAAATTCTGAAATTATTTTTCAAGTTCCCAAAATCTAGCTTAGGATAGTTTTTGGGTGAAACTTGTTCTCCCACTCACAAAACTTCAAATTTTTTTCAAATAAAATGCATGTCCAAACATAATTTCAACTTCCAAAAATTACTTTTCAAAACTACTTCAAAAATTATTTTTTCAAGTTTCAACCAAATCTATGTCCAAACGCTAGCTTAGATCCTTCTCCTCCGCGATCAACTAATCTAGAGTCCACTTTTTAAAAGGTTACTCAACTATCCCAAATTATCTTCTAAAGTCAATTTTCTTTCGTTTTAACAACAAAGTCACTAAACTATGCCTATACCACTCAGAAGGTCACTCAACTAGATTTTTCATATTTTGGATTGCCAAATACCTATTTTACCCTCTAAATTATAAACATTTATCTTTTTTTTTTAAAAACTTTTAATATTATGATTTATCCCTTTTTAATTTATATTATGGACTTACCTATAAAATAAATAAATTTTATTTATAAATTAAAAAATAAAAAGTATTTAAGCATATAATGCTGGAATAAAAAAATAATGAGAATAGTAAAAAAATTAATTAAAATAATTTGTTCGTAATAATAATTTTAGTATTAACAAAATAAATTCAAAAAATTATTTAAAATATATATTCCATGCACATAATATAAAAACAATTATTTAAATAAATATATTTTTATAATATACATTATATATTCTTGAAAATTATACTCAATATATTATTATGTTTCTACCAACTTTCCGACGACACAAAGTTATGTCACCAGAAAGCAGGGGGACTATCTGTATATGGTAAAATACGCTATGTTAAGTCATTGCATAAGAAGGTGACACGTGGAACCGAAGGTAGGGGATAGCTAAGACCGAAGACAACTGTTTCATTTGTTACCGGCAAGAATGATACTCATAAAGATGAAATAAATGCCTGCCACCCGGTAGCATTTAATGAATAATATTCTACAAGCTTTAATATAATTGAGCATAATTTTCAAGATTATATAATGTATATTATAAAAATATATTTATTTAAATAATTATTTTTATATTACGTGCATGGAGTATATATTTTACAACCTTTATTTTCTTTCATTATGAATTATGTAAATAAATTTTTAAATTTTTGTTGTTAATACTAAAATTATTATTACAAACAAATTATTCTAATTAATTTTTTTACTATGCTCATTATTATGTTATTCCATAATTATATATGCTTAAATACTTTTTATTTTTTTAATTTATAAATAAAATTTATTTATTCTATAGGTAAGTCAATAATATAAATTAAAAAGGAAAAAAATATAATATTAAAAAGTTTTAAAAAAAATAAAAAGAAGATAAATGTATATAATTTAGAGGGTAAAATAGGTATTTTGCAATCCAAAATTTGGAAAATCTAGTTGAGTGACCTTCTAAGTGCTATAGACATAGTTCAGTGACTTTGTTATTACAAACGAAAGAAAAGTGACTTTAGAAGATAATTTGGGATAGCTGAGTGACCATTGAGTAATTGTCTCTACTAATCTATGATATTTCTTGCTATTGAATTTTTACGTATTTTACAACAACAACAACAACAACAACCCACTATAATACCACTGTGGGGTCTGGGGAAGATAGTGTGTACACAGGCCTTACCCCTACCTTGGGATAAAGAGGCTGTTTTTGATAGACCCTCGGCATCCTTCCCTCCAAGAATTCCCCACCTTGCTCTTGAATATTACAAAAAGAAAATTAAAATAGAGTTGTCATATGAGGACACATGGTTGCATTTTGAAACTCAAGCTTGTTGCCTTTTCACTATTATAGTAGTTAAATGGGGAAATCAAATTTCTTTACATATATGACATATCATTTGGGAAGGGAAAGTGACGCCCGAAAGACGGTAAAATTATTTTCGTATAACTTATATGTCAGGTATTTGAGTGGAAAGATGGTAAAATTATTTTTGTATTACTTATATGTTCCGGATTCGAGTTGTGGATCAATCACTGATACTTGGAGTCAAAGGACTAGTCCAATATTGTGTGAACACAAAATATTTTGTGTATTGAAATATCCTTTTTTATATAACATATCATTTGGCCGGAAATTAAAAAAATAAAAAGAAAAAATGGGAGAGACCTTGAAGGGCACTCAATTTTGTTTTAATCATACTAGGAATTTATATTATTAATTATAGGCTATGTGCTATGTGAAATTGGATGCGGGATCTAATACAACAAGGGAGGCCCACAATGACCGGCACGACCAGCTCAGCCGCGCCTTTGTACAGCATACTGCGTACAAACCATCTCTATTTTGTTCGTTCCATTCCCTTCCAAAAATTCCCAAGTTATATATTTAGAAACTACTGCACAAAGTATAAATTTACAACTAAACAATATTTTAAATTCATAATCAATGACAAAAAATTGTTGACTCACCAAATAGTAATATTATTCGGACAGATGAACTACAACTTATATTCCACCTTATAGTTAAAATACTTATTAAAAGATGTCACTTTAGAAGATGATTGAGAGGTTAAAGTATAAAAATAGTAGTAATACGTAGCTGTGAAACTCAACTACAACATGTACTTCTATTTATCACTATCACATTATTAGTAAATTTACTCAACATCTATACATGTAAATTATAACTAAGTAACTAACAAGTAACAACTTTGATAATATTTTTTTAAAATATTAGTGCGATTGTGATGGTTGAGAGACTAAAATATATAAGAGTAATAACATTATTCTAGGTGCAAATTTTAGCGTCGATATATTACTACTGTAGTGGAAAGTAATTCTAATCGCTCGATATTTAGCCAAGACACACTCAAGTTGATTTAGAAAAAAAAAATTCTAAAAGCATTTGAAAAATAATTTTAAAAAATTCTAGTTAAGAGTGCTTTTTTTTTTTTTTTTTTTTTCTAATGAAGTTTACCCACTCGAACCCGGAAACAAAATGAAAAGCCAAAAAAAAAAAAAAAAAAAAAGGTGTAATATACAAACAATGTTCCTAAAGTCCCCTTGTAAAATAGAGTCAACCGACCCTCATTCTTTCAGTCCTCACCTCTTCCTCTCAAACTGTACATTCACATCACCTCATTTCTCTCTCTCTCTCCTATCAATAGCTACAATTACCAACGCGCACAACGAAGATACAGCTCTACACAAAATCCGCAATAGATACACACATGGATTCCATGTGTATGAATTAAATGTGGAAAATGTAGTGTATGTGCAAATTGAGATGCTGAATTAGAGGAATTAGGGTTTCAATTTGGTAAAAATGCCGTTGAATAGGTATCAGATAAGGAACGAGTACAGCTTGGCTGATCCAGAGCTGTATAAAGCTGCTGATAAAGATGATCCAGAAGCTCTGCTTGAAGGCGTTGCTATGGCTGGCCTTGTCGGTGTTTTACGCCAGCTCGGTGACCTCGCCGAGTTAGTCTCTTCATCTTCATTTTTATTTTTATTTTTTATTTTTTGCTTTTTTGACTGTTTGACTTTAGAACTTTGTCGCTGTACAAGTAATTAAGTAAATACTGTGCGAATTTTTGTGCTTTGAATCCTTTTTTTGTAATTTGAGTCGATATAGTGAAACATGAATTTGTGAGTTTATTATTGGCTTTAGAATTTTGGCGTTTTACAAGTGAACAAGCAAATGCTGAGTGAAGTTTCGTGTTTCGAGTCCTTTTTTTGTTGTAATTTGAATAGATAAAATGTAACATACTCTTTGAAAATCTTTGTATTGAAATCTATAGGAACTTGTAATTAGTATACCATTTGGAATAGTGAAAATGGAAATACGCGTTTGTGAGTCATTGATTTTAGAACTTTGGCGTTTTACAAGTAAATGCTGTGTGAACTTTTATGCGTCGAGTCGTCTTTTATTTTTTTTCTTCTGTAATTTGAATTGATACAGTGAAATATGCCAGTATTGAAATCTATAGAAATTTGTAGTTAGAATACAATTTGGAGTTATTAAAAATGGAAATATGAAATATGAATTTTTGAGTTGATTGTTTGAATTATTATTTGATTTAGAATATTTTTATGGAGTTCCTCTCTTTGTATTATTTGAATCGATAGACTAGAATATGCTTGCCCAAAAAAAAGTGAGAATTGAAACTTCAGACATCTGTAGCTAGTTTACTATTTAAATTGAAATGCCGACTGAATTTGTGAGAAGATGATTTGAATTGTTAATTGATTGGATTTGCTGATTAGATCATTTTGCTTCCGATATGAACCTTGTCTTTGCATTTTCTTTCTTACTTTTTTCCCAACCCGCTAATCATAGCCTTTACAAGTAAATGTGGACTAGATTGTTTTTGTTCTCAGAGTAACTTTTTTGGCTAGATGCGTCATTACCACCTAAGTTGCTCCGACACAGCAGTTTAGGTATGGCACCCGTGTCGACGCGACACTAATATGGGTGTAGGTATGGGATCCATACCAGATTTGGTTAGATAATTTTAGGAAATCAATCCTTTACTTATCTGCAACTTGAGAATAAAAAGAAATCCATACTTTACAAGCTAAACATAAGTATTCCACAAAATTTCTCATAATTTAGAGATATCTTTATATTTTTATTTTTATGAATTATTTTTAGCCGGATCCTTGCACCCGTATCTGTACTAGGATCCGTATCGCCGAATCTTAGAATTTACATCTCGAAGGATCCGATCTCTGGATCCGCACCCGTGTCGAACACCCGCACCCGCGTCCGAGCAACTTAGATTACCACGACCTGCATGGTTTAACAAAACTTGCTTTGGAAGTTGAAACATGGCAGCAAATATTAGTATTTGTCGGGGGTGATTTGATATGAATGTTGTTTTCAAGTATGTAGGAGCTTAGTGCTGACTAATTAACTCCGAGGCAGAAATATTTGGGAGAATCTAATATGATGTGGTGCCAAATATGGGTCTTTCTGCTTATGTACTATGTCCCTGCAAGTGATTCCAGATCTCTCTATTTGAATTTTATTTTGATCGAATTTTCTATATTTATATATATATATTTTATTTTACTCTTACAAAAAGTTTATAAAAATGGAAATTTTTTCTTGTTGCTTGAATATTAACTATTCAATTAAAATGAATTATTACAACTATAACACGCATTTTGGTTTTTCAATTCAAGTTCGTTGGAACAAAAGAGACCCGGTTGGGTACTGACCAGACCAGGCCATGAGAATAAGAGGATCCTTTCTAACAAAATCAAGATAAAGAAAAGAGGTCTTCTTTATTTTTAGTTGATATTCTTGTCTCTTTTGAGCCCTTCCTTTACTTTAGATAAAGAAATAAAGGAAATTGATGATAAAAGTTGTACATATCTCTATAATATAGAAAGAAGAAAAGAGAGAAAAAGACTCTTTCCTGTATCTTATGTGCTATCTCATAAGAATACTGTAGTTGAAGTTCAGTTTGATTGCGGTAGCGTCTAAAATGTTGGTATTTCTTGTTAAGCTTGCTTTTTGTAAATGTTGAAGGTTTGCTGCTGAGATATTCCATGACTTACATGAAGAAGTGATGGCAACTGCTGCAAGGGGCCACAGTTTGACAGTCAGGGTCCAGCAGCTTGAAGCAGAATTTCCTTTGATTGAGAGGGCATTCCTCTCACAGACCAATCACTCTTCCTTCTTCTATAATGCTGGTAAGTGCTAAGAGCAGATCATTTGTCAATATCACCATCAAAATCCTGGAGGACTTATTGTACTTGGCTTTTTCGTGCACTTTGATGGCTTTTCTGCTTCTTTCTACTTCCGTACCAAAAGATTCTGTCATTTCTAGTCTTGAGGTGCTTCTAATTGTTTTATACATGTTTGTATATGAGCACATGTATTATATTGCTGTTGATATTGCTTGTTCTCTTATTATCTTATTATTGTTACTGCTTGTTTTCTTATTATCTTGTTGTTGGTATTGCTTGTTGTTACTGATCTCTTTTTCTTTCCTTGAGCTAGGGGTCTATCGGAAAGAACCTCTCTACCCTCAAGGTAGGGGTAAGGTCCGCGCACACACTATCCTCCCCAGACCCCACTCGTGGGATTATAGTGGGTTTGTTGTTGTTGTTGTTGTATATGTGCACATGAGCATATATGTAGAGTATACAACGAAGGTTTATCTTTCAGTTTCTTGAACATATAATGTCGACTAAAACAACATGTGTCATAAATAGATATTAGTGTTTTGAGGAATTTATTAAGTTTTCTATATAATTGATGAGTAGATAAAAGTATTAGTAACGCAAACATTACTTCAGGTACTGATTGGCATCCTAATCTGCGAATTTACCAAAATATGGTTACAAGTGGAGATTTGCCTCGATTTGTGATGGACTCGTATGAAGAATGCAGAGGTCCACCTCGCTTATTCCTTCTAGACAAGTATGTTCTGATATTTATCGTCAACAGCTTAACATTACATAGAGGGTTAAACTTCGTTAGAATAGCGTTTGACAAACTTATTGGATTGTAAAAGGTTTGATGTTGCTGGAGCTGGAGCATGTCTGAAACGTTATACTGACCCTTCATCTTTTAAAGTGGAGACATCCTCATATACATTCACAACTTCAGATGTTCAGAGGGAAAAGAAAACTCGCAAGTCAAAGGTAATTAAAATTAAAGAGAAACTATTACTCCTGTTTCTCTGCAACCATTTGGTTTACTTACATGCTGATTTAGTGGTATTTCTCTGGCTTGGTATCTGAGACGACACTCTTTTTTTCTTGGGTGGTGGTGGTGGT